GAGGAGGGAGCAGTGGGCTGTAAAGAGGACCCAGGAGGGCTTCTCTGAGGGGACACAAAATCAAGATCCACAACAGGTGAGAAATGATGACCTTCTGAGATGAAGGCGACTGTCTGAGCAAACTGGGCAGTGTGACTGTGCCATGATACTGGGAAGTCCTTCTTCCTCTCAGCCTTCATAGTTTCCTGAGTTCCCTCCAAGGTCTTTGTAGTGCTGGTCTGAGGATCTGTGTAAACCTGTCCTATTTGGTCCTGGCTGCTCTGTTGAAATACACTGGTGACTGCAACTGTGACACCTCTTAAGAACCCACCCCCTTGGGCTAGGGATATAGCTCAGTGGGTAGAGTGCTTGCCTTGCATGCACAAGACCCTGGGTTCAATCCTCAGCACCACCAAAAAGAAAAAGAAAAAAAGAAAGAACCCACCCCCTTCCACTTGCTCTGTCCCCACCCTGTGGCTTCCCCTGATGACAGCTCCCTTTGAGGTTGAGTTTACTGTCATTTATGCACCTGATAAACATTCTGAGGACTTTCTGGTTCTAGCACTGTGGACCTGGAAGGGCTCTCTTGGGCATCTGGGACCAATGGGGAGACAGGCCCATAACCTGGAGATGTCAAATCTTCTGGAATCCTGCAAGGACATAGGGAATACAGCAGGAGACAGGAGTGCCTGCTCTGCCTGACTTCCTGGAGGAAGGGGTGTGGGCTCCACCTCAGATGACCTTCAGTACCTTCTCCTAACAGGCCTTGGCTTCTTCATTCTAGCTTGGGTACAATCCTACACACCAGGATAGCAGTTGTCTTTATTGGTGTCTTTCTAGGGGTGACAATATTTTCAGGTGGCTGTGTCCTGGGTTTCTCCTTGACTTCTACATAAAGAGCAAGGTCTGCTGTTAATTCAAAGTTTTCCATCAATGCACTGTGGTCCAAGCCACTGTCCCAGCTCCCATCCAGTCCAATGCTCTCTCTGTATTCTCCTGACCTAGTTCATAACTGGGGCTGTGGAGGTTGAGATATTCTAGCTCCTCCTGGTTCATAGCCATGTTATAAGCTCCTTAATGTCAACTGAAAAACAGTGCTCCTTCCTAACCTGGAAGTTGCTGTCTACCTCTTGGTGAAGGTCCCCAAACTAACAGTAAAACTGTGGAATGAAGAAGAATCTTCAGAGCATTAGGGCATGTGGGGGTGGGGTGGGGTGGAAAACTTACATGTATGTAATGATCTACAGAAAGTCTGAGAGAAGAGAAGGGAAGAGCAGGAGAGAGAGAGAGAGAGAGAGAGAGAGAGAGAGAGAGAGAGAG